TTAAAGACCTTCTTCCCCTCAAGTGTGGCAGAAGGGTGTGGAAAAAACATAAACTTTCTGGAAAAACAACACAGCGCCGTGAAGGTGGTATTTTTTCCTGCGAAGGTCAAGGTGGTCACGCAGACTTCCACACAGACAGTTGGTGGCATCCCCCTGCACTTTGAAACCTGAACTGCTTTTATTGTTTTGTAATTGGGGCGTTGGCCCTACATAGATTGTTTGACAACAATATGCTACTACAATGTAAGTTCATCCCACACCTCTGTTCGGTGGATGCAAGCACTGGCTACAGCGCTTCAAAATCTCTCCGGCTCATGGTGCATCACTCATTGCCATCACCTGAAACAGGTTTGCAGCCATGGATTGAAACCTGTGGTGAAAACTTTACATCACGAAGATGCAAGGTTGACCAAACATGTTTGTTGCGAAGGACCTAATATAGACTAGTGACCTTCCACGGGAACATCTTCCTCCGCCGATTCTTCTTCGCCGCCCTCGGGCGCCATCTCGCAGTCCTCTTCTGGATCAACCGTGTGGTCCTTCTTGAAGACTGCATTGACCATAGATTCCTGGGTAGACAGCTTCTAACTTTCTATGGGTTTAGATTGGATTGAAGACAATTTCCAAACAAAGAGCTTCAATATACCTTGAACCACGCAATACATGATCACAATTCAGAATGCTGAAATAGGAACCATCAACGCTTGCCCAGCTTCGAGGTCTCCGCGGGTTCGAACTAGTTCTTTTCGAACACTCTCCTCATGCATGGATCAACGAACTGACGCAGCATCGAACCATGATGAAGACAACCATGACGAAGACAACCATCCATATTTTACATATTTTTAGATTCAAGGGGCGGCAATGGTTTCACGCGTTTCATCATCCAGGCCATCGGGAACATGGAACTCAGTGGCACATTGCATTGATTTGGACAAAAGAAAGGACACATAGCAAAGTTAACTGTCATACAGCGACATGGATGAATTCAACCAAACTGCATAGAATTTCTCACTCCCATCGATTTTATATCCATACTTCCTGTCGCGCTTGTAGTAGCCCTTGTGGACAGTGTACTTGAGAGCGGACGGACGAGTGGGCTCAGCGGAAACACTGGCAGCGGGTTTCTTCAGAACCTTCATAACCTTGACCTTTGACTCAGCTTTGGCCTTGGAGGCCAAAACACGCTTCTGCGACGATGCTGAAGTCGGGGGCTCAAGTGGTGCCTCTGGCTCGGCTGCCTTGGCCTTGGGTTTTGGTCCTGGTTTGCATGTGGGCTTGAGTTTAGGCTTGGGCAGAGTCTTGGGTTTGGGCAGAGTCTTTGGTTTCGGTTTGGCTTTGCCCTTCGGTGCAGCTTTTGCACTCACTCCACCCCCCTGATTCTGGGGAGTGGCTCGGTCTTCATCGGACAGCTGGTCCACAGGCTGGAGAACCATTTGAAAAAGGGTATGGAACCCTTGCATAGGCGTTCTACTATCTAGCCCACGCGATCTTTGAGATCAAATGCTAGGGCGATGGGACCTGGGTATCCAATTTAATTTCAAAAAGCAATGCAGCTGTTCCCTACCATTGGCATGTTTTCTGGTGCAGGGAAGGATTTGAGAGTAAAGGGCCCTACAATGCCCGCATTGGGGTTCTTCTGCAAAACTATGCGGCCGGGCTGTGGTCAAAGGAGGTATCGCAGGATGCGCAACCCTGGCCAATGACACCATTTACATTGGGCCACATTGTGCGCTCCCGTGTTCACCACTCACACCATCACTGCAAGATTTCCAATTACATAGTTTTCAACAATTCTCAACACAATGCTCACACCCACGCCATCACTTCAACTTGAGGGCTTCGCCCGCTTCGATGCAACAATTTGCAAACAAAAAATACTTGGGCTTCAGGGGCGTCACCACCACTGGCGCTTCCTCTCCCACTTTGACCTCCCAGGGGTTTACGCATGAAGTGTGATGTTTGACCCTTTGCGATATGATTGAAACCTTTCCGATTGGATTGAAAGAACCCCACCTCCCACACGATGCCGCAATGAGGCCCTGCTGGGATCTGCAAGATCCGGTCGTGGAAGATGGCTCCAAACTGCGCTGAGCGAATGCCTGAGACCTTTTCTACCGGCTTCGGCTTGAACGCATTGGTTTGGGCATCGGGCTTGACCTCGTAGCGGAATTTGAGTGGGATATGGCCACCGTCAGGCCCCGCCTCCACAGAATGCATAGTTTTCACAAGTCTTTACAAATCTCTACATTGAACACACGATAACATGTTGTTCCAACTTGTTACATAGTGCGTCGACCGAAAACCTTTTTGGAACGATTCAGCCTTCACTTTGCCAACCAAAGAATGGTCAATGACCCGAGCTTCGGTTATCCCACGATTTCTGGCTACCGAGCACAAGAGGTCTGCCAAGGTCGTGGTCTCTTTGTGGGTGACCTGTGTGCCCGCATCGCCCACCGAGGTGTTGACAAGGACGAGGACCGATGAATCGGCTCGGAGGATCCATTGGATGGTATCGTTGCTGGGAGTTCCTCCGCTGCCCAAAGTCATGTTGAAAACAAAGTGTGCAAAGCTTCATCTTTCATCACTAAAGTTTTCGTCATTTGAAGAAATAACTGGTCCTGAAGGCGCTTCCACAAATGACCCGACGTTGAACCCAAACAGCTCACCGTGGCTGAGGTTGACAGCCGTTTTCCCACGGTTCACCAGCCACAAAGCGCCAGCTTTGGTAAGGGCCACTTCAATAGAGGGCTCTCGAGCGAGTGCCGCAGAAGCTTCCACCCTGCTGGCAATAGCTGCATCACACATCCAAATTAAATCAAATTAATAATTAGAGAACTGAAAAAATATATCAAAGATTGGACACTCTGTTTTTTGAAAACCCAGGAACTCATGCCCGGATTCAAAGTCGACGAGAGGAATTCCAGTGATGTTCCACCGCTTGTTCAGGTTGATTGGTCCATCATCTGTTCCCCATTCTGGTGAAGCCATTGTTCGACCAGGGCTTGTGGACGTTGGAGACGTTGAAGAGCTCCCCTGATTGAAGCTCTTAAGGGAGTTCATGATCTCGGTTTCCTCCATCAACTTGTCCTCCAACATCTTCAACTGCTCTTTGTGAGAGGACTCATACTTGTTTTTCACAAGGTCAGGCAACCTCAGATGCTTCTGAAGATCTCTTTTGGTGGGCCCCGGAAAGAGCAAAGCAATCAGACCCCGGAACAAATCAAAAGATCATTGGGTCGATGTCTCACAACAAAAACTTGTGTATTTTAACCCAAAGACTTCAGCTCATTGTCCAACACAATCAAGCAATCCAGATCAGGGATTTCCTCTGAGAAGGTTTGAGCAGCACGGGACTTTGGCCCAGCGGCGCTTGAAGTATCCCACCACTGCTGCATGGCCCTTCCACAAATGAGCTGTTGGCAGGACTCGGCATGCTTGGTATCATCGTCGTGGTAGATGCTGAGAAACCGAACATCCCAGGCGCGGTCTTCCGCTGACGCGCCCTGCAAGAATGCGCGCTGAAGCTGCCATGCTGCTTGGGACCACTCGGCAAACCTCCAGGGTAGAGGGCAATAGGATGCAATAGGTTACCTGTTGTTAATTTGACATCATTCTAATTAGTTGGACTTTTTTCAACCACCAGGCCTTGATGGCAGTAGGTCCACCAACAGCACGGGCTGGGCTTCGCGGGCATGCATTCCACAGAGAAGTTGTTCCAGGATGTCCACGCACGCTTGCACACCCCTCTGCTGGACCTAACTTATGTTGGGCAATCGGAGCAATTGGTTTGTCGGACTGACTTATGTTGGGCTCCCATACCCACAAAACAACTTGACAACCCAAAAAGATATCATATGATATCATGAACAAGGAGCGCGCCAGTGAGGCGCCAAGGGCTTGTCTGGCTCTGGGTTGGAGAGCTCGTTGACCCGCGCTCGGTCAACTTCATCTATGCTACCCAACAAAGCCCTGCTGCAACTCCGAGGAACATCGCTCATCCCAGGAGCCACCCCAGCCAAACCTCAGAGAGTTTAGTACCACGAAAGGACTCTTTTGGATGGTTTGGGGTGAAACCTTTTGTGAAAAGAGACAAGAAACATTGTTGGCTCTTCTTTCTGCGATCCCCTCCATGAGTGGAGTCTTTACCCTAAGTCACCGAAATTAGTAAATTTACATTTTTATTGGATTTACGTAAATTGATGAATTTAGGTGGCAAAAAGTGTAAATGGGTTAGTAAATGTAATTTTGATTTAGGTACAACCTAAATTTATTTAGGTTGGTCTTCACTAAGGGTTTTTCCTATTTTTCATTACTTTTTGATTTGCAAATATTCAATCTAAAACGCATCTTTTGAAGAAAGTAATTTGTAAAACATATAGCCACAAGTAGAGACATTTGGATAAAACCACAAGCACACACACACTCAGGTATAAGCACACAGGAAAAACAAGCGCAAGAAAAATAACTTGGGTATAAGCACCATGAGCTTTCCATCCTTTGTCCTGTCCAGGACTTGGTTCACTATCTTGCGCTGTTCTTCTGTGCGTCCCTTCTTCATGCTCAAGGTCTTCTTCCAAGCCTGCGCAACATAGTCTGGCAGAGAGCCCTCAGACAACAAGGCCTTGAACTTGTTGTCCTTCGACCTGTCCTTCTTGGCCTCATCGCACTAGCACTAGAAGAAGTCTGCATTGTCCTGCTCCTCCTCCTCCTCCTCCACATTCTCTTGGTTGATCCTCTTCAACTTCTGGTGCTTCCTCCTCCTGATCCTCCTGCAACCCTGCTGCCCAGCCATGAGCTGCTGGCTTCTTCTTTGGCTGTACAGTTTCTCCACTGGCAGCAGGCCTTTTCAAAGAGCATGCCTTTGGCTTTGGCTTTGGCTTGCTCTTTCCTTTTGCTTTGGGCTTCTTCCCTTTAGGGCTCTTTGCTTTTGGGCTCTTGGATTTTGGGGTCTTTGCTTTGGCAGCTGGCCTTTGCTTCATTGTATGTTGTTCAAATTGAAGTTGTTGAGAGTTTACTGCACAGCTGGCTTATTGGTTGTTGTTTACTTTTGCAGCTAGATTGATCTCAAAGAGCTTTGAAAGGTTTGAAGGATAGGTGCAGTAGCTTGTTGGCATTGGCATGGCAGAGGAAGAGATTCCCATGGGCCAAGTCACTCCTGAGGAGAAGGACGATGGATGGTGTAGTTGAAGAGCCCAGTACACCTGTGAACCAACTTCAATTTGAACAACATACAATGCTGATCAACTCTTTGTGCAAAAGCATTACCTTCTCAGGTAAAGGATAAACCAACTTCAAATTGAACAACATACAATGCTGATCAACTCTTTGTGCAAAAGCTTTACATTCTCAGGTAAAGGATAAACCCACAAGAATGCTAGATATCTTTTTGCTGACAATATGATGCAGAATATCATAGCTTTTCAAAAAACCTGTCAAAAAAATTGTATGATTTTTTGATGCACTTTTGATGCACTTCTGATGTACTTTTCAAAAGTGTATACACTTTTAACAAAAGTGTATACACTTTTGATCAAAAGTGTATACACTTTTGAAAAGTACATCAAAAGTACATCAGAAGTGCATCAAAAGTGCATCAAAAGTTCATCAAGAATTCATCAATATTTTCTCTTAAATTTATAGTTTTTGAACTAAATTTCATAAATACATATCAAATACACTTCAACTCACAACAAAACTAAACAAGACTAAGCGCACAATTCCAAGTTGAATGGCATCCTCATGTAAAGTATACTCACACAAAGTCTCAACCACTGAAGTAAAATACACTCAAGTAAAACCATCCTCAAGTAATGTCTGCCATGCTCAAGTAAAGTGTGCCATGCTCAAGTAAAGTCTGCCATGCTCAAGTAAAGTGTGCCATGCTCAAGTGAAATCACATCCTCAAGTAAAAGCTCAACAGGTAAAGTCACACCCTCATGTAAAAGCTTCTCAAGTAAAGTCAGATCTTCTTCATGTAACAGCTTCTCAACATCATGTCACAATGCGTGCCCTCAACTCTACCCCAAAGGCTGCTTGTGACTTTTTCACTCCAAGGATTCCAGAGATGAACTGCTGTCATCTTGCAGCGTCCTCATCAAGTCCATCATGGCATTGATGCGGTCACGCCTCCTGACAATGGTTTCAAGCCAACATTGACATAACTCTTGTTCATTTGCTGCAGTTAATACAAACTTGAACAATTAATTTTCAACAAACAAACTTGTTTAAAGTTCAGTCCAAGAATCTTGTCAGCTTTGCGCAATTTCCTGGCCCTTTCACTGCTTGTTTCCTTCTTGCTGAGGTGTCTCTTGTTCTTCTTCTTTTTCTTCTTCTCACAGAGCCAAAAGATCTCTCACATAAAACATGCACCCTCACACTGGCAAAAACCATTAGAGAATCAGAGAATGCTCTTGTTCCTAAAGTGAAGAAAAGTACATATCCTCAAGTAAATTTACTCCCTCAAGTAGACACCCTCAAGTAAAAATGTTTTGTTCAAGTCAAGAAGGGTACACATGCTCAAGTAAATGCAATCCCTTCAAGTAAAGGCAAAGTCCACACCTCCTGGCATGCTCAGTCAACAAAAACAAAAATCCATAGCGCAAATATCCTCAAGTACATGTTGTCCTGTAGAAAACCTGCCTCTTTGGAGAAAGCCAACTCACATAAATAGAGACATTTTCTGCTTCAAAATCATGCTCACAAAAATTTACTCATAACCTAAAAAATTTACTAATAACCTAAATTGGATTTACTAATAACCTAAACTGGATTTACTCATAACCTAAATTGGATTTACTATTAAATTTACGTAAATTTTTACGTAAATTTTCCTTAGTAAAAACAAACATTTACGTAAATTTTATGGTTAGTAAAACTACTAATTTGGGTGACTTAGGGTATAGACCACGGCGATCTCGAAGACGTCCAATGTTCTATGTGCGTCGGCATGGTGATGATTTCTCAGTCTTTAGGTACGCATTTCAGTATTCCACCAAATCATCACATAACATATAAAAGATTTCAATTTTCCTCACCCAAGATTCCCAACCACCTTGTCTTCTAGAAGTCTCCTGTTTTTCAAGACCGCAACCTTCCCAGCACTGGAATGCCATTGTGGCAGGCACCAGAAAGACACCGAGTTACAATTGCCCCCAGTCACGCCCTGTGCGACTTGAACCGCCTCATCAATCGAGAGTGGACCTCATGGCAAATGTGTGTTAGTAAGGGCTCAAGATTCGAGGTATAGGAAATTCACATTGCCGAAACATTGTAGGTTGAAAGTCCCCTTTCTCAGTTGGATTCCAGGCACGCGTTGGCCACAAGGTTGCATCTGCAATCAATATGGTCAACCTCAATGTGTCGGTGTGTGGATCGACAATCTCAATCAAACTCAAACATAGGAACACATTTTGCATTGGACTGATTCTTTCATGGTTGTGTGACGATCTATTTGAGATTAGGTACCCATCAGGTCCCATTTCACCTTGCATTTGCACAATAGCAGAATGCCCCAAACAAATGGATGGATGTCGGACGATGCGGTGCTTCTCTGCCAGGAGCTTGCTGATTTCCTCCTTGCCCTTTGCGTACCGGTCTGAGAGGTACTTCACATCCAGTGATCCCTGGCGCGAGGGAAGATGGAAAAAATAGGGACAATGGAAACCGTTTTTCATGTTTACTTAGAATGGCATGGCATGAGAAAATCTGACATGGATTGAAATCAGTAGGAAGGAGCCTGCTTGGCCATGAAGCTTGTAAACTTCCTGGACCAATCCTGCAATTTCACCTTGTCCTGCTCCACTTGCAACTCCATCTGTTGCCATGTGGTTTGGAGCAGCTGTTGACTGAGCCTCACGCGCGCGATCGATTGCCTTGACCAGTCACACACATTCTTAGGCCAAGAAGCTCCTGAGCCTTTTCGAGGTTCCGTTTTTCCACCTGGCCGGTGTGGGGTGAAGCAAACGAGTGTTCAAGTTCTATTGGAATGAGGGTTCTGCTAAATGGTTACCCACCTGGCCTCTGTAGCATATTTGGATAGATGCACTGCAAAGACGCTAATCTTCGAGAGGTCAGGTGGAGGGACAGACCCGTCCAGCATGGCCAACAAATCGGCGTCCGCGTGTCTCTTTTCAAACCTGAGCGTGACTTGTTGAGCACTTTTGGGACTACTTTCGGGTCATCAAAGAACATTGCAACAGTTCATGTGGTCCGATGAATAGCTAACCACCTTATGTTAAGTAACGCTTTGTTGACCTCAGCAAGCGCGGACTCACTGAAAGCGGACGGCACCTGTGCCTTGAACTGATCAATGCAGGCCACAAAGAGCGCACAAACCTTTTGGAGCTGTGCCTCAGATGGGGCACATGTTCCAGTTTTCAAGTTGACAAGCGCACAACACCATACAATAAAAAATAGTCCAAAGGATGTGCACCAAAGTTTTTTCTTAGTTGCCAAGTCCTTCATACCCCAGGGCTTCCGCATTTTTGGTGTTAGGCTGACCCAGTCGGACTCCATGCGGTGCAGCATGAAACTGAGGGTGTCATGCGTGTTCTGCAGCTGGGATTTCCAAGAGGCGTGTGGTCCAACGGCACTACTACAAAAGCCCAGATTCAGGAGCCCTTCTGCAAGCCCATCGTGGTTTACGAAGCGAGGCATCCCATACCGCCTGGTTGTTTGTAGTTAAACAAAACCATTCTTACCAACGTCCACCCAATCACACAGCACCACATTCAAATGGCCCCTGCCTCACAAGGAGGGTCAATCCCTCCCTGATTTCGCTGGGCACTCGCCGCAGGAGGTTCAGCGCCGCTGCGGACTCGTGTTTGCCCAGAGAGTACGCGCTCGCGAAGGAGGCGACGGTCTCCTGCGCCTGTTAAATACAGCAATAGCACCAAGAAGTTGCAGTGTCGTGTCATTCATCTTTTGTCTTTTTATGTATTTTTCTTTCATGCCCGCCTCTAGCGTTTTGATGCTTGCCTCTTGATTGTGGCCAGAACGGACAAGGAACTGCAGTTGAAACAGTAAGTTGAAGCAGTTCGGGCGGCGGCGAAGGGATGATGACATTGTCACGCCTGATTGTGTCACGACAATGAACAAACAAATACACACAGCTTGTGTCTCATTGACGCGCACTTGCAGGCTCATTTGCAGCTCGAGAACCGCGATTCGTGTTGACGATCATGGTCGAATCAGGCGGCACGATGGTCGCGTGGATGGTGGCAAAGGATCTAGGCAATTCACATGAATTCACCCATGTTTGTTCAGAAGTATTCAGAAGTCAAGAGTTTGCCATGCTCAATCCTTTCCTAGTTTGCTTTGGGAGTGAATAGCAACTAGTGCGTGTCCAGGGGCTTGAGCACCTGCTCGGGCAATGCCTGACGATTCAAGTACTGTAAGTCTAAACTAGTTTGTCACGGGTTGGATCCAACAATGAAGCAATTTTCCAACACCAGGCCTTCAGCAATTCAGATTGTTTGAAGGCTGCGAACAAGACTGCCAATCCGCAGACTGAGCGATTCCATCCTTTGACCATGAAAATCTTCTCCGCTCCCAACAGCTCTGGGGGGGCATTGAAATCGGTAGCGATAACCTCCTCCCGAGGAAGCTCCAGCCACTCCCGGCGAAGCCATGTCCCCACGACCCGCTCGCATCCGGGCACATCTGGGTTTGTTTGTAGGCCGTTGAGGCATATCAATTCCATCAATTGTTGTTGAACTTCCTAAGTCACCAGAAAAAGAAGAACGTCGCCCCAGAACAGGAACACTTGGATCACTGGGTATCTGGCCGCATCCGATGTACCCCTCAAGCCGAAGTCTGCCCTGTGCGGAAGCTGCCATGGCCTCAAAAAGACAGCTGTCTTGGGCCCATCGAAATCGGTGTCCAGGCAGTAGGTCCTCAGCCGATGCGAGATTTGATGAGAGCACACTGGGGACAGGTAGGGGTTGAGGTCACCACACACTTGGGTCAGCATAGACAGTCGCTTCCACCCACTGGTAGAAGGCAGTCGCGGTGTCCTGTAGAGCTTGGTTGCCCCCACAATCAGAATTGGGAACAGCACACTGTCCTTCGAGCTGAGGGCCTCTGTGAGGTAGGCATCCACGGTCGTATTTGGCTTCACTATGTTCTCCATCCTGAGCTGTTTGCTGCCATTGATAGTGCATGATAGTGCCATACCCTTTTGACTTTAGCTCATGACATATAGATACCACACCAATCTTTATGTGTACAAATGTGTACAATATTGTACAATGATCCGCCATGGAACAGCCATTCCCCCAAGAGCTGCAAATGGGGCATCGCCCTTGAATCTGGTGGTATTGGCGGGAGCTCGCCCTTCTTCACCTTCGGCTTCGGCCCCGGACCGCCAGGCGCTGGTCGTTTCTTCGGCGCCATGGCCTGGCACAGGACCGGGAATGCACATGATGATTGCCTGGCACAGGACCTGGCAAAAAGATCATGCAAGATGAACTCCTTGTATGACACCCCTGCGCCACCAATGTGTTTCTTCACAGATTGTGAATAGCGATGCTCCAAAGCACTCCGGGTTTGTGAAAGGCAAATCATTCACAATCACTGGTCACAATGATTTACCCATGATCGTGCCGTGAGGCGACCCGTACATTCACGAACACCTGTCTACATAGAAAAAAACTTGAAAAAAACAAAATCAAAATTACAGTCAGCAGATTCAGGCATGGTTTGTATGGTGTTTGTGCCGCGGGACGACCCCTACATTCACAAACACCGGGTTGCCACGAGGTGGGTGGCCAGTTAGAAAATTGCCTCTCACAATCTCAGAGTTTGGATACCCCTGTCAGTTCACAAACACACCTGCGCCAGGTCCAGGGTAGCACGGAAACCCATCACGAGAACAGTGGAATGATTACAAATTTAAATTTGTTTCTCAACGGTTGGAGCCCTACCCTGAACCACAAGTGGTTTGCAGCTCCCCTCAAAAGCGGCTATATCTTGCCAGAGGCAGTGCCAATTGCCTTTGAAACAATTTTGATGGCGCGAGTCATTTCAACACCATGCGCCCACAGCTGTGCTGCGCCAGCGTAAAGAGCTTGATACCCTTTGGCTGTTTTGAAGCGTTTTGCTTCCTCGCCCTCCAAAGACTCAGACCCCAGATTCAACTGATTTGGGGCCTAGGCAGCCATAGGCAGCCAAGGGTTGACCATGATGTCATTTTCCATATCACCCAAGGTCCCCCGCGCAAATCAAGTCCTGAGCCGGAGGAAGACGCTTGGCCGATCCTCCGACGGCAACTCCATGGTGAGGTAGTGCCCTGAGCGGAAGGAGCAGAGGGGCGGGGATTTACAGTAAGTGATTTTGAATCTTGGACTTGGACCAGCTGCAATCCAAAAGTGTCCCCTCAACAACGCCCATGGAAAGTTTTTCCAACTCATGGGCTGCATCGTGCATCGCCCAAGGCTCTTGGCCTTGGAAGTAACTATGCTAAGAAGAACAGTTATATATTCATTAGATAGCGTTAGATTAGATATCATAGTGTATGACATGAATGAGGCCTGGACGCATGATCTGAGCGTATTTCCTCAATGCTTTGTTGTCTTTCGACTCTGGGTTGATGGGAGTGTCCAAGAAGACTGGCCAGACAAAGCAAAAACTGGAGGAACTCGGCTGGAGGAAACGGCTCGCCTGGAGGAACTCGGCCTTCGCACCTTCTGGCCATCGATGCTGGGAGAAACAAGTACACCTTTGAATCCCACTCTGTGTTGCTGAGAAACCGCTTCGTCCTTGCAAAGGAGAACAAGAATTCTGTTCATGTCACAGGCCCATGCTTACCACTTACGAAACAAAAACCCAAAACAGTCCTGAGGATGACATCATTTTGACTTCTTTCAAAAATCTTTCGTCTCGCCCAGAACTTGCTGTCGACATCTTGATGCCGAATGCCTGGCGGCAGGTATATAGATTCATTCAAGTGTCAGCACACAAATAAGAAAAATTCAAGGAGTGTCCCTGTGGCAATCTGGTGTGGAACCTGTGTCACCAATGCGTTCAACCCGGATCAGATGGGGCGCTCCGGGCCCGCCAATTCCACGAAGGTGCACTTTGAAAAACAACTCTGAGAAGAAGTTCTTCCTGACATACACGCTTTCAGAGTGGCAGAGTGATGCATACTACGAGGCAACAGCGCGTAGAAATATTGAGGGTTTTGTGGATCACAACATATAACAACACAACGAACACACAAAGGTCAAATCTTTGCTGTTTGAATGAGGCTCCAGTCCCTGTACTGGTGCATCATGACTACTTCTTTCAGTTTTTCATTGGGTCGCCGGGTGGGAGCAGCAAAGTACGCTTCAAGGCACTGTCTGAACGACTCAGGGGTTGGCAGTTCGTTGTGAGAGTTTATCCAACTTCGTAGGTGGCCAAAAAGAGCATCAATATCCTCATGGCTATGGCCACTGGTGAGGCAAGATATTTCTCCAGATCTCAGCTTGTGTTGTACAACCCACGCTCCTAAACACCTAAGAATCCCGTTGTTCTTGAGCTCGCGGCAACAGTTGTCCCCTTGGAGCGTCAGTGAGACGTTCCGGAGATCAACTGTTTTGCTGACCATGGTGAGGCCGCGACTGACGATCTCTGCTGTCCTGGAGCTGTTCGATGTCAATGTGCTTGGGCTCAGTGCCAAGCAAAGACAATGCCCGAACGCGGCCACGAGTGTTTGGCAGCATCCATACTGTCTATGACCCCGCATATGTGGCAGACATACGGGTTTGAACTTTCAAGACGCGAACGGGCCCTGCTGGCCCAATAGATCTGACGGTCAGCATGCTGCCTTTTGAGGTGCTTCTGGAGCATCTCCACCTGAGATCTCCTCGCAGGCGGGCAATGCCCGAGGCGTTTGATGATAGCCCGGTGCTTCAAGCATGTTGAGCATTTGCTGTGATGGGTTTTAAACCGGATGCGAAGCCGCTCTTTGAAGCTGTCCATCCAAACCTTGGATGGGTTGCTTTGCGTGATGAATAGATGGTAGCTGCCCAGTCCACTCTAAGAAGTGAAGACAATCAAAAGATTAACATCCAATTCCAAGCATACAAGCAACTGAATTGAAAAGCCTCTTGGAAATGTTGAGCATGGGGTTGATTGAGCAGCACTGAACGTAATAATCATGGATTGATCCATGGGGTAAATGTTTTATCAAGCTCCGGTTCATGTTCTTCGGGTCCAGTTTGTGTTTGCCTTGACGTGGACGTTTGTTGCTGTTCAATCCATCAGGAATCGGCTCGGCGGCCTCCAGGTATAGCTGCATCAAATATTCATGCACCTTTGTTTTCTTCTCACTCGGCAACTGCGGTCCCTTGGGGATGTACCTTTGATCGAAGGGGCAAAATTCATGCCCTTCTTTCGCCGAATGCCGCAGGGAATGAAACCGGCCCTTGCCCATACCCAGTAATCGCATGAACCCGGAGTTGCATATGGGAAATCCTTGGAAGATCAAACTCCGACAACCCCGGGAGGCCTCTCCCTGTCGCTGTAGTAGCTGGAAAACCTAGGCACGCCGGTCATGTATTGGATTGACTTCTAATTGACATTGAGACCCTGACATAGGCATCTTGCTCCAGCTTGGTCATGTCATGTAGCATCTTCCGAAGCTTTAACCAAGAGTCGAATTGCGCAGGTGATCGAAATGGTTGAAAGCAATCACATTGACAGCCGCACTTTGATTGAATCAGATTTCGCAATCTAACAGGTTCCACTCTCGTTGGAACATGTTTCACCTTCTGGGGCTTGCGCCGTGCAGGTCTTCTCCTGCGTTTGCCGCAAATCTTCAGAGGCGATTGGGCGGTGGGTGCAATGTTCTCATCCCCACTGAGATCATCGACGGACGCCAAAAGGTTTGGCCTGGGCCGAATCTTAGTTGAATAGGGATAAATATGAAACATCAAATAGTGAGTTTCCCCGCATTGTGGCTGGTAGGAATGCAAAAGCGGTAATGACCTAACACGGAGGGGGCATCAATTTTGGTTTGACTGGACTGCTCTGACTTACTAGCACCCACACACAACACGCCTTCAGTCACTGCGAAGCATTCCTGCGCACGGGCCGCGCTATGTGGAAGTGGGTATGTAAGTAGTGTGGAACAAAGAAATAGCGCTGACATTTTGCTTTATAAGCTGTCCTTGGCGCACACCCTTTGCCCGCCATAGACGGGGATGCATGAAACAATGTTTGTGTAAAGGTTACTATATCGTGATATAGTGCTTGATTGGACTTGCACAGTGTATTGCACTTGTCTATGCCATGTGAACAAGCTCTTGCAAAAATGAACACCTTCATTAAAATGTTACCCCGTTGCTGCAGCCCAAAGAAGGCGGTGTCGCATACCGCTCAAAGCCCATGTCGGATTGCCGAACAACTTTCCCAAACAGGCCAGGAGTGCGATTGAGGGCGCGGTGCCCCAGGAAGCGCCGACGATCGCTTGACAACGGTTGGGAGTGAGCGGCGCAAGTCAAGTGAATGCAGTGGCTACCAAGTGGATTCAAATTGGATATACAGCTGCCACACATTCAACATTAAGACTGAAACATTTCACTGTTTCCCAAAGGCAGGATGCAACTGTGTGGGTCTGTCAGTGGTTAAGACACACTTGCGACCCATCCCTTGAATTGTAGCTGAATGAAAAAGCTACCACATCTCCTTTAGGATGTGCATGGCAAAGAAAGCCATCCA